AGCGGTTAGAGAGAAAGAGAAGAAAGAGAGATCGTGAGTATTTACCTTCTACTTGTATAATAAGATGTTTATAACCTCGAAATTTACAACTAGATCAAAGGGAAGTTTTTCTTCAAAATGACATTTTGTTACTTATGAAGCAGCTCGTCCTCCGATATTAAACCAATACACTAGGATGGGCTCGGCCAAAAAGGAATAATCAAGAAGAGAGACAAGCTTGTCAAAGTGCAGAGGTCACTTGACATAGATATCAGATATCTTCTACAAGGTATGTCTCAGTTTCTGGAAGAGGAATAAACCTCAGAGGATAAGGAAAGCTAACAACGTTCAACAAACTTCTTGGAAGAGCACATGGGATGTTGGTGACGTGTGTACAGCCTTAGTCCTCTCTATTTAAGTTCTGAGTCTAGACTAATGAGTATTGAGTCGGTGCGTTTAGATCATCTTGTAGGGGAGGTGAGAGTTCTTCCGTTAAAATGTCTCAAACTCTGTAGAACTTATCATTTTGAGGGAATATATTCTGTTTTCTCACTGAATCATACATTTTTACTAACAACTCATATCACATTTAAGCTTCTTCCTCTTGGTTCAAAAAAAAAACAAAATTTCCTCCTCATATCTGTTAAAATTACATATTCTCGTACTTGTGAATTTCAGAATATATAAGCGGTTTGAAGGACCGATTACAAAACATGGTAAATGGCTGGACATGAAGATGGTTATCAAAATGAGGAAAAGAATGCTAGTCAAGTCGATTTTGCTACCCTTAATAACTACGTTAGTTAAGTTTCTTACTCTCGTTTGGAGAAATGAGAGAATTTAGCGAGTGTCATTACACGTTCCTGGTGGAGTTCAAATCCACCTAAATAGGATTTCGTTGGGAAAAATAGGAAAACTATGTCTATCAAGAGTGGAATGAGGAATTGGGTTCAGGATAATTCATAAGTTCAAATTAGCACCATTGGCGAAAAAGCTGTGGAGACTAGTACAATTTCCAAAATTTCTTGTGGCACGGGGATTGCGTGGTAAATATTATAGACTAAGTTTGCCATTGCGAGCTGGTTTTGTAGATATCCCTTCATACATATGAACTAGCCTAGATGCAGCAAGGCCTCTACTCTTATTGGGGATTGTCAAAAGATCCATTCAAGTTATGATGTAAAAAAACATGGGAGGATCCGTGGATTTTGACAACACCTGCAAGGCCGGCTAGGCCAAATGTACCGGTAGCACATCCTAGAATGATTGTCACAGATTATAATAATAAGGATTCGAAGGATTTGGAAGTCTTATACTTGAAAATTTTTAGTACCATAAGATATACCATTAATTCTTAGCTTGGCCATAAGCAAGAGATTGAGAGAATCAAGAAGAGGAATATACAGAGTGACGCAAGAAGTGAATCTCGATCATGAGACTGGTGAGAGAGATAGAGTGAAGCTTTCTTCGAAATTAGAGTTTTTTCTCACCGATTGGGATTTTCAGACGTGGACAAAGATTCAAGATGAGAGACTAGTGGAAGGCAGCAACCATTAAAAGTCATACCGAATATCTGAGATTAGCGTACCAAGGTTGGTATAAGATTACCCGATAAATATCAATTTCAGTTATTGAGGAATTAAGTCATTTGAAGTTTTGAACATCACCATTTTAAACTTTATAACGAGATACTTATTGATGGAGCTATACCAAGAGTGGTTTGTATACTGTTAAGTTAGGATAGTGAGTGGCAAGGCATATACTTAAATACGAAGGAGATGTAATCTATACAGAACCAAGCATCACGAAACTCCAAACTTTTGTATGGAAGTTAAATGCCCCTCAAAAAATTAGTCATCTTATATGGAAATAATCTTTGATCATGTAGTTGTCACAAGGAATTTGACTCATCGACATATGCCATGTGATAATACTTGCCCTAGATGTGGGGAATCTGATGAGTCTGTATCTCATGCTATCTTCGAATGTCCACCAAGTTTTTAAGTGTGGGTTTAACAGCCACATCATCTCATCCAAGTATTTTCCATGTGTCCAGTATATACACTAATATGGATTTTCTTCAAAGACTCTTATCCATGGATAATTTGGTACCTTTGGAAAGTCAGAAACGATAAAATATTCGGATGGATCGATAAAAACCACTTGAGCTGATAATATATGCAGAGGGAGAATGCCAAACATGGTTCACGGCAAATGAGCTCACTACTGACTTGATCCAGACACCAGTAGTAACACCTCAAGTCTTACAGTTGGAGAGTATTTTTTTTTATAGAATGGTTCTTGGACCTTTACATCGGTGTACAATGGTTGTGAATGGATTTGGAATGATAGAAATGAACAAGCTTAGCTAATGGGTATTACAAATATAATACGTCAAGAATATGCTTTACATACAAAGTTGGAGGCACTACGTTTGGCTATGGAAATGATGTTGCTACTTTTGATATATCAGCATGTCAGCATTTTGGAATAGACTGCAAAAACTTCATTGCTAGGAGAACCACAGGCTTGGCCAAATTTCTCAACAGAGTTAAAAGGAGATACAAGAACTGAATGGAAGATTTCAGGATTTGTTATATTCCTCGAGAGCAAAATGGAACTGAAAATCACTTAGCCAGAACTGCTCGTTCTTTTCATAGGAATCTATACTTTTGACTTTTATTCAGCATTGTATATACAATTATGTTTACGTAGTATTATTTATTTTACATTTTTATATATTATAAAACTAACAAAATAATAAATATATATATTAAATAATTTTTTAAAAAATAAACTGCTACAAATTAAACTACATTGGCACAAGCACACCAAGGCAATCATTTTTGCTTTTTATAATCATTTTATGGTAAATAAATTTAACCAATCACTTTTATATTTTTTATGGATTATAATTAAACATAAATGATATTAACATAGATATATAACATTCTAGGAACAGCCCAGGCTACGCCCGAGTTTTTTGTTTAAATTTTAATTTTTATTATATCTATGATAAAAATATAAGTAGTTAGACAATTATAAAATTATTTTTAATTATTTATTTTTTCTGTTGTATGAATTTCAAAAATTTTAAGATCCAAATTTCTGATGTTTTTGTTATTGAAAATTATATATATTAGGGGATGACCAAACTGAAAAAAAATGATTTAATTTTAGTTATGTGTTTAATTGGTTGGACCGTAGAAATGTTTCATTTCACTTAATTTTTTTTATCAATTTTTTTCCAATTATTCTCTTAGTAATTTAATTGACCCTCCCCTATAAACATACAATCCTATTGAAATATTTTTTTTTCAAACACGGTTTTAAAAATTATAGTATTTTCTAAATTCTACAAACTAAATTCTTACAGCAAAATTTCTGCACTTACAACCTAACTAATCAGACACATGATCTGAATATTTTTTTACCCTACTTAAATAAGTTTTGATGCAAAACTTTGTTAAATGTAAACAGAGGAAAATAAAAATGCAAATTATTTGATGGAAATACTAAAAAAATATGACTTGAACTAAATTTTTAGGGGTTAGTGATAGCATATTAAAACTGATGATCTATCCAGTTCTCATATATAAGATCCTTATTCCATAGAAACCTTTGTCTATTCACAAATCACACCCAAGATTTAAGCTCACATTCAAACACTAAATTTCAAACTCAATTTTTTTTTGCCAGGTGTGATCCAAGTGCATCTTTTAAAACAATCTGAGAAGCAAACACCAGAACCACCAATCTCTTAGTCTCATTCATCATCTTCAACGTGTTAAGCTTACATTGCTTCATGAGAGCTTTCTGGTAAGTCTCAAGCACAGATCAGACAAAACTAGACAAAACTTGCTCACAGAGATGTGTAGGATTTTGGTGAGACATCACTAACATCAACCTGCTCCAGAAAATCTGAACCAAGTATTGATTTCTAAAATGAGAAAGCATCTAGAGAAGCCATGTTTGTTTCTTTACATGTCTCATTACAGAATCTGTGAGAATTTTCTGGATAGCCAGTCTTACATTCCCCAGCCTGCAAGAAAAAAAAAAGAGAAGCTAAACTCATTAGTTCTCTCTAAACAGAAAAAAAGAAGTAAGGTGACCAAAATTTGCCTTGTTGATCTTTTGTAACCATCAACAGAAAAGGTTTACAACACGTTTCATAGGCTACTAAAATAACATAGTGAGTAATTTCTACATGTCTTTACACTTATAGTATAGACTGTGTGCTTTAGTTACATGTAGTCAACACATGCTATAGTGATATCCCTTTCTCCTAGCTGCATTCCCAAGAGCGAGCTTCATGCTTTGTACATACCTATATAGTGATATCCCTTTCTCCTAGCTGCATTCCCAAGAGCGAGCCTCATGCTTTGTACATACCTATATAACAGCACCATGATCCCTCCATAGACTATAAAAAATAAAACCTTGCTGAACGCGAAAAAAAATTGACATCATATAATTTTCAAGATATACAAAGGGAGTAACCTATCACATGTTCAACAGATCAACATCACATGGAGTAGCTTTACTAATTAGAGCTAAGTGCCTAAATCTCATGCAACTTGTAATTAAGACAGAATATAAAAAATTTTGTTCAAAGAAAAAAGACAAAAAGATAAAAATTATCATTATGAATACACTATATTTTTTCGCCAGAATAATTTCGAATACAGAAATATCAGAATCTGGAAACGGACTTACATTCACGTCCACCATGAGCAACCTATATGATCTCCCACGGTCGGCTTCACCTCTGCCGCTAGATCAATTGGTTCTCTCTCCAGGTCCGTCTGATACTCTGTCTCCTTTTTGACTTGAATCAAAGAACAAAGGTTTTGATTCCCCGAATCGCAGCTGGAAACCGTTTTTAGATCGATAAACGGCGAAGGAGGACTGGAGGAGAATTCATCTGCGCGTTGTGATCCATGAGACGAATCGCGGCTCAATCGTAAGTGATACCAGCTTCCTCCGCCGTAGCGAATGTCCCTAACCAAATCCGAGTGCGGACTAAGAATTCCTTCTCTCTGCCGTGAAGGACCCCACCGTTTCTGCCTCACGCCTCTGTATTTTCTGGGATTCTCTGACACCGAGACGTCAACTTTTCTCTTACCATCACCTTTTTCCACCTTGAATCTAGCTTTCATCGCCGCCTTGGAAGACGGTTTGGTTTCACTCTTGGATTCTGACAAATCGTGTCGTCGTCCTCGTCGCTAGATGAGTCAGTGGCAAAAGGGTTAGTGAATGCGATTCGTCCATAACGACTAAACCCCCACAATACCTCTGAATAAATAATACGTTGCGTTTTGGAGAAGCCAATTCTTTTGATATGCAATCATACGTGGACTTAATGACATGTTCGCCTACGTGGCACTCTCATAGGAGAAAAAACATAATTTTATATAATAGATTTAATATAGATTTCTATTAAATGAGACTTCTTAATCATTTATCTTTATGATTATATGTATCTTTTTATTACAAAAACTGTCAACCCATAATAACAAAATTTCAATATGAGACTGTTAGTAGTTTTTAAAAAATCACTACAAATTTCAAAATGAAAATTGTGAGTTCTCAATTAAAATATTTGTGTATTTTTATATGGTACTAGGGTTGAATCCGCCCTACGGGCGGGTAAGAAACTGAACGAAATAATACATATATATTTTAAATTTTAATAAATTTTTAAAATTTTGAAAAAATAAAATCCAATTTATTATCTTTTTAAAAATATTAAGCAAGTAACTTTGAAGTATGATATTAATTGTTACGTTTAATATTTATAAATAACATGTTGGATTATATATTTATGTATTATTTTATTTGGAAAATATATTTATGTTGTATTTTGATGTTTCTTCAAATTCTCATCAACAAAACTTTTTAAAATAGTGAATTCCGCAATTATTTTCTTTTTTATAACCAAAATTTAGGCTAACCCAAAAAAAATAATAGAAAACCACAAGTATTTGATGTATTGTTATCTATAAAGATTGTTTATGGAGCATTTGATGTATCGTTAATATATATGGTTCAAATGTTAAAATAGCTTCGAAAGAGCTTTTACAAATGATTAATAAAATAGCATTGTATTTCTTATATTCTTTTAGATAATGAATCCAATTAAAAAATATTTTAAGAAAAAAATGAATTCATCTCAAATTCTTAATCTAAAAATATATTTTATTTAAAGTGAAACATTATATAAAAATCAATGAAAAGCTAATACTGTAAAAAACTGTAAACCACATCCATCGGTAACTCAATTCGATTAACTAAATATTGAATCCAAGATACGTAGCCTACTAAAACCAAAATCCTCACCACTCAACCATTCACCAATAGGAAAAAGTATTAAAACTTTTTATGAAAATGTAACTTGAGCCGTTCTAATTTCTTTCTGGAGTATGAAACTGCTGCACTTGTGCCACTTATTCCCTCGTGCACCAAGTTAGTTTGTAACCAAACATTAATCGAACTGTTCATATTCAGATTTTACAGCTTTATCTTTAGTTAGCTTTAGTTACCTGACGGCTTATGCTGACTTGCATCTTTGGATTCTTTGACACAATTTTAAATGAGATTCTTGAGTAGGAAATGCTAATGTTGTGCAGTCCGGTTCTAATTGTGAAGGAGCCTGACTATGAGGTCGTGAGTCCTGTCTTCAGAAAATGTGTTTGCAAAAATCTATTGGATGTTCATGAAGAGCACCAAGTCACCAGTCCTCACTGCCTGACAAAATTCAAACATATTTTTAGTATGAGATCCTTATTTCAGAGTTGTTATTATATTATGCAAGCTCCATCAAACTCAACTGTATCATTACATGTACATGTTGATCACCTATATGATCAAGTAAATTAATTAGTGCATCTTGTTTTATGTGAAAGTATGACATATTTGCAAATATTAATCACGTCCTTATATGTTAAATACTTTATTTAATAAAGATCAGTATACATTTGTTAAATATTTTATTAAATAGTGCACAATATATTAAAAGAAAAATCATACAATTTTTGTAAAAATATTTTATGCGTTTCTCTGCTCTTGGCGTAGTTCAAAATCTTAATGATTCTGATTTCTCTCTCTCTCTGTGACAGAACATAAAATGCAATTTGCATCTGCTCTTTTGTTTTCATGGTCAAAGATATGCTGACTAAGTGCCTGCAACATCATTTCAGAGAAACTTACATCGTCAAATATAACTAATATATTTGAACCTTTTGTTAAGGAAATATTCCTATATTGACTTGTAAACAAATATGTAAAGAATATCGGTATGTCCTTATTACGATATTCTCAGCTAGCTAAGATAGGAAAACATTGATGTATATATGAGAGGTTATTGACCTAAGAACACAATAAGAAAATCCTTATACAAACAGTTTTCTTGACATGGTATCAGAGCAGTAATACGATCATACTGTTTTTTTCGATTGCAAATCTCGATCAAACTCTTAAATCGACAAGATGGGAAGCAACAATGTAAACGATGAAGATTCAGGTCTGGGTTCTACGACAAAAGCTCAGACCGGTGCGAGATCTGGAGTTGAAACACAGAGACGTTGGATATCACCCTATGATCTCTCGCCCAGTGACAATCCAGACTCTGGACAATCCAGACTCTGTGATTTCACAGCCTCCACTCAATGGACCAAACTATAATGAGTGGGCAGGAAATCTGAGAATGGCGCTTAAGTCTAGGAAGAAATTCGGTTTCGTGGATGGTAAGATACCGTTGCCAAGCAAAGATTCTGATGATTTTGAAGACTGGTGGACCAATAATGCGTTAGTGGTCTCCTGGATCAAGTTGACGATAAAGGAAAAAGTGCGATCAAACTTGTCTCATATTGAGATAGCTAGTGATTACTGGAACACATACGTCGTCGTTACTCAGTAAAGAATGGTCAGGGAGTTCAGAGAATCAAAGCTGAGCTTGCGATGTGTAGACAGCAGGGTTCCTCCATCGAAGAATATTATGGAAAGTTGATGAAGTTGTGGACTTCGCTGGCGGAATTTCGGCAAACCAAGACTTGTTCTTGCCCTGTCGGAGTTAAATTGGAGAAAGAACGTGAAGAAGACAAGCTTCATGAGTTTCTGAAAGGGTTGGATGAATCCCTGTATGGCTCGGTGAAGTCGAATTTATTGTCCAGAGAACCGTTGCCTTCACTAGATGAAGCCTACAGCACTCTGCTTCAAGATGAAGATTCGAAACACACCTCAAGGATCCTCAATGATACAGCAGAAACGATTGCGTGTGCGGTAAGGACGAGCTCTAATTCGAGTTCAGCTCGATCCTATCCATCAAGAGAAGAAAAAGCAAACCTGCAATGTTCTGGTTGTGGGAAAAAGGGTCATACTTCCAAAAATTGTTTTCGAAAAATTGGGTATCCTGAGTGTTGGACAGACAAACCTAAGGGACGAGTGAGCTCTGGACGTGGACGTGAAACAGGAGTGACTCATGTGAGATCAGAAGCTCAGCGTGTGAACTCTGCTCAGACACAAACAACTTTGCCACAATCAGTCAATACAATTGTTGCAGCAGACAGAGCAGGAATTACATGCCTTAGTGATGATCAATGGAAGACGCTGGTGAATCTTTTAAATGAACGCAAGCAGACTGGGTCTTCCTCTTCTCTAACAGGTACATCTCTTGAAAACTCTTGGATTGTTGATTCTGGAGCGACAAATCATATGACATGTTCGTTTGGGATTTTGTCGAATGTTCGAGATATATCTGTGGTGCCTGTAAAACTTACAGATGGAAGATTTAGTTTTGCTTCTAAACAAGGAACAGTGGTTATTAGCTCTGCGTTGAGTCTGCAGAATGTATTGCTTGTGGATGGGTTGCATTGTCATCTGATTTCTGTTTCTCAATTAAATCGGGAGCAACAAAGTGTGTTTCAGATTACTGATAAGCTGTGCTTGATCCAGGACCGCATTACGAGGACGCTGATTGGAGTGGCTGAGTTGGAGAATGGACTTTATTTTCTTCGAGGGATGGAATTTGCAGGAGCTGTGCATCGTGCAGGGGCTGTTTCTCGAGATGTATGGCATCCACGTTTAGGACATCCCTCCCCTAGAGTTTTGGATTTTTTTTATCTATTTCAGATTTGTCTACTGATAAGGTTTTGCAAAATAAAGCGTGTGAGATTTGTATTCGCGCTAAACAATCTCGTTTTTCTTTTCCTACCAGTTCAAATAAAACTTCCGCTGCTTTTGAATTAATTCAATGCGATTTGTGGGGACCGTATCGTGTACAATCTCGTTCTGGCGCTAGATATTTTTTGACACTGGTATATGATTATACAAGGAGTGTGTGGTTGTTCCTTATGTCGACAAAACAAGATGTAACAAAGACCATCAAAGAATTCATTGCTATGATTGAAACTCAGTTTGAAGCTAATGTTAAGACTCTGCGTAGTGATAACGGTACGGAATTCACTTGTATGTCAAGTTACTTCAGATCTAAAGGAATTCTTCATGAGACGTCATGTGTGGGAACTCCATAGAAAAATGGCAGAGCCGAAAGGAAACACAGACACATCTTGAATGTGGCTCGATCACTTCGGTTCCAGGCTTCGCTTCCGTTGGAATTTTGGGGCGACTGTATTCTGACAGCTGCGTATTTGATTAATAGAACACCGACACCGCTTTTGGAAGGCAAGACACCTTTTGAAAAATTGCATAATAGAGCTCCACCTGTTCATCATTTGAGAACTTTTGGATGCCTCTGTTTTGCTCATAATCAGAATCACAAGGGAGATAAATTTGCATCCAGAAGTATAAGATGCATTTTTCTTGGATATCCGAATGGTAAGAAAGGATGGAGAGTTTTTAACCTTGAGACCTAGAGATGTTGTTTTTCTGGAATCAGAATTTCCATTTGCAGAATATTCGCCACATGCATCACTGGAATATGTTTCTCGACAAAACAATGAACCTGCATTTCTCGAAGACGATTTTCACGATCAAAACCCTTCAGCTGTGCACAATGAAAATCTAACTCCTGAGTTGGCTGATCCAGAAACGGTATGTGAAGCTTCTCCACAAGAGGCTTTGTCAAGTCATCAAAATGATGCACTTTGTTCTGAATACAGAACCGTTGACATAGATACCTTACCGAGATTGTCTGCCAACA